TTAATATATATTAACCACAACTCCATCCAGCACATTTTGACAATAAGCTTGGAAAAAATTACCCTTTACACTCCAGATAATTATAAGAGAATCTTTATTTTAACAGATGTTTCACCTTTGAAACTTCTTCAGGGCTAGTAAATAATGATTTCTGTAATTTTAGGATATCAAACAGTTTTATGTGGTAGCTCTGAAGAAGCCACAAAGGCAAAACGTTGGTTAAATAAATGTTCTGTTATAATTATCTGAAGTGTAAGGGTCAACTTTTTCTAACTTTATTATCAAAATGTGTAAATCCCACCAGTATGCACTACAGATTTTCAAAGACAAAAAATTTCTATCCAGCACATTGTGCAAGGTATGCAGCATTATATTAGAGACACGTTGATCACTCAGGATGGACAAACTATTAACACCAGCAGTTGAGGACTTTCAGAATGAGATAGCATAACCTAGTGCAGCCGGAGATCAAGGGCCCACTTTAAGTGACCCCATAGACAACCTTAGCTTATTTTATTGCTCTGTGCTAGACCTGCTAGTGCTATTGATGTAAAGATAACCATTTTGAGAAATCTAATTTCTATTTAATTTTGGTGCAGTCAGTCTCACAATGAGAGATATGATATGTCAGGATGTCAACATTCAATAGTAGTTACTGTTCTAGAAAAGAATATAGGAAAAAAAAAAATAAATATATATATATATATATACATACATATATATACTGACCAAATATTAAAAGTTCATACAATTTATAATTAGTCCATACATTATTAGCTTACAAGAGTATCTATGTCTTTCTGTTTAACCAAACCAGCAAAAAATTAAGGGAACATAAAGGAAGAAATACAAGTAATTGCCTACACTGTTTTGTTTTAAGACAATGTAACATATACAACAGCATTATATAAGAAGCTAAGAAACTAAACTAAAACCTTACAAGTCTTTGTCCACTTGGAGTAAGGTAGTAAACATCAATAAGTCTTGTTGATTTTCTATTAATGTTGTTTTCTGTGCTGGAACGATATACAATCTCTCGTTTCCATCCTTAAAAAAGTAAAAACCTTAATGTAAATATACTTTAATAAGTTCTTAAAGACTAATATATATTACTATATAAATATGACACAACTATTCATTTAACTATTTTTTGAAGATGTGCAAACCATCACACAAGCGAATATATATGTTACATTAGTTATAAGTCAAGTGTTTTTTGAGAATATGATACATCAATAATAATCTTATGTATCTGTAAAATTTTTGAGAATTTGTGATACAATATAATAGCAAATAAGAACGTATAATCAGCAGTGTTTCCTGAATGTATGGTATACTGATAAATCAGTTTTACATAATTTATCAGTAACATGTGATATCACGTATTAATAAATAAATCTTTACATACTGAAATATGCCATACTTCTTTGAAGCTAATGTTAAAATTTTTCTTACCTGAAAATGTATTTCAGAAAGATACTTCTCTCTCAACAGACCTGAGAATTATCACCTTGTGCCAATAGCAAAAAGTTTTTAAAACTCACAACTCTACATACAGTTATGCACACTATGACAATCTATAATGCAATCAGCAACAGACTACAGTCCTAAGCCAACAGGTGGGTATTACATTCTCCATGCACAGTATTCTCCTAGAGAACATTGTGTATTATCAAAAGCTCATTCTTGACAAGGCAACAAAAACACACAATGAATATGGAGAGGAAGGATGGGTTCTACTGCATGCAGTATATAGTCATAAAGATATAATTATTGTGATGTGAGAGCTTTAGAAAAAGAAGCAACAACTCACCTCCACAGAGCCTCTGGGAAGATTGGAGAATGGCAACTGGAGGGAGATGGACCCAGAATATGGTGCAAGTTAAGGGACGCAAATGTGTTAAGGGTCATCCACATTCCCGCTGCATGATCTCATCCAGGGGATGTTGATGGCTAGAAGCAAGAACATTTGTAAGAACAAAAATTTGATGGGAAGTACCATGAAAAAGATGAGAGACGTCATCTTCCATGGAAGAATAAACAATAGGGATGAGATGTTGAACCCAACCAGTCAGAGTGAAAGGAGAAAAGTTACAAGAAGAAGAGAAATTCCATGGAAAGAAAAGATGATGTTGATTGCCTCAAAACGAATAGTATGAGGGAGATAATACTGAACTGTCCTAACAAGGGCATGATTGAGGTTGGAATTATCATACACAGAAAAAAGGGAATAAAGGGTGATTAGAGGAAAAATTTGATCCTCCTCCTAGGTAGTCCAAGTCTTGGGGAGGAAGGAATGGTCTGGGAATAAAATTAACCTGTCCCTGTTATAAAGAGTCTGAGATTTTTGTCCCAGACAAAAATGTTTGTGTGACACCTCCTGCAAGTGAGAAGGAGAAGAAAATAGATAATTAGAAAAAGACGATACAGGCCAAAGGTTCAGAAGGAAGAGAATTGAGAACTAAACAGAGTTTCCAATTCAGAAGAGAAACTGGATGAGGAAGATGACTAATGAGAAATGCTAGGATCAGGTCTGTAAGAACTGAAGAAAGAAAAGGAAAACAGTTGGGGAAGGGAAAGAAGGTCATTGAAAACAGATAGAAAGAGATTGGACCAACCAGATTCAGAGTATCCACTGCCAGAGCTGTATAGTCTGGGACAGGTACAAGAATAGTGGAAGCATGGTATTGAGGGATCACAAAAGCATAGATGAGAGGACTCCCAATGTGGGAACACATCCACTGAAATCCTAGAGGAAGTAAAGACCACTCAGCGGGAAGAATCAGTTAGATGTAAGAAATGGCAATAGACTTGTTTGAATGAATAATAACAAGATGACCAAACAGACAAGACAGAAGATGATGGCAAACATACAGAAATATACCTCCCAGACAAAGTCATTTGTGAGAATATGTAAATTTGGTTGAGGTAGGGGGGGGGGGAGAAGGGATACCCATCGTGATGTGAGACCAATTAAGCCACCACAACAGCAAGGGGTGAAAAGAGAGAGGGAGAATGACAAAAAAGAAGATAGTGGATCTCTGGACACACTATATTGATCCACCAGAGTCCACTGACAAGGGTGCATATGGGCACACCCAAGAGGAACAAGGGACTTGAGAGAAGCTAGAGTCCCCAAAAGAGACAAACTTTTCACATAGAAAGAGAAGGAGACATTAGAGCTTTGGTAACCAGAAGCTCCATATCTCCAAAATATAAAGAAGAAGGATGAGCTTACCCCATAAATGAGTTGAGAAAGACTCCCAACTTGGTAGGGGTCAAGATGAATTTGGAGAGCTGGACCCAAATATCACAACTCCTGAAGGGAGGTTGCAGCTGAGAATGCCTCTATTGAATGGCAAGAAGGACCAGCTGACAATACAGTAGTAGAAACATAAGCCCAATGATTACATATTCCACAGAATTCCATCAGGACCCAACTGGAAACATACGGGGCTGTAGCCAACCTGTAGTGAAAGGTCTGGAACTGAAAAATCATATTGTCATGGACATCTACAGCCCAGGAGAGAAAACCCATCTCAGATTAAGAAAATCATCCTTTTTGAACCAAAGAGTAAGAAGAAATTGGTTCAAGAAAAATAGGTCTATGATAAGTGGCCAATCTCTCATCTTGTGAAACATAAAAGAGATGAAATATAACTCCAGACTGGAGTCAAAGACCTGTTCTATGATGTTCAAAACCAGGATATAGTCTCCTTCGGGTGTCAAAGATGCAAGGCTTGTGAGACAATTGAAGAAAGAGGAGGATGAGTGTGGAAAGACAGGGAAAGTCCTTGAGAAAAGCATTTGTATGACTCAAAATCTTTTACAAAGAGAATCCACTGGTGTGAAAAGAAGGTAAGAGGAACTCTTACCAGACTGGAGCTGATGGGTGACTCCAGAAACAAGTTCCCTCTGAGATTCATGATGGCCAGTCCTTTGAGAGGGTGTGTGTCAGGAAGTAGTGAGAAGATGAGAAGCAGGAGAGAAACAACCCTACAAGCCTCCCAACCCAAGGATAAGAAACCTGTTTGAACCTCTTGGACCAAGCAAGGTGGGAAACCAAAGTAGCAGGGATGTTTGCTAATGAGCTGGCTCAGCTCCAATATCCAGTGTAATAGGAATTCTCCCAAAATCCTAACAAAGAAAGAGGGCCACCTGGAAGTCTCTGAAATAAAAGTAAGGAAGAAAAACTCCAGAAAGTAGGGTAACTTAACCAAACAAATACCAGAAACAAAGAAACTAAGTCAACAAGGACAATGCAAAAATAAAAAAGAAACTGAGGTCGAAGTTGGTAAATATGTAGGTGTGATCTTTCCCACTGAAGCAGTCAGGGCTGCAATGTAGAGCCTCCAAAAGAAGGTGAAGCACAGACAAATAGTGAAGAAACTATGCAAAATGAAAATAAATACAAGCAGATTGAAAGTGAGAAAGACAAAAAAAAAAAAAAGGATAAAAAGGAGATCCCCAAGTTGAAAGAAAAAATAAGAGAGACTCAAGCTTAAGGAAATAAGAAAAATAATGACCATACACCACTTAATAAGATTCTCAAGGTTTGGGAAGATGAGGCAATGGGGTTTTGGTACAATTTTAAGATAAAAATCATGACCATACAGCACAGAATAAGGTACTTAAGGTCTGATAGGATTAAGAAATAAGGTTTCAGTACAAATTTAAGATAAAAAGGTATTGGCATAAATATAAATTTCAGGAGGGGGGAGAAGAGATGATAGAAGATGGAGGCTCACACTGCAAGTAGTCTGTGATTAACCAAAAATAACTTGAGAAAGAATGTCATATAGTCATTTAACCAAAGCAACAAAGGATGACGGTGAGGTTACTTATTCCTTGTCAGGAAGGGAAGATCCAGAAGCAAAAGCAGGTGATGTGAACAGCTAATCAAAATCACTGAAAGATGAGGCAGGCTTAGTTGAATCAAGAGGTCGGGAATTCTGGATCTAATATTAGAATAAAATCAACTACCTGGCATACAATTATAGTAATTGTAGAAGATGAATCTTATGTTATAATTTTCCTACACAGAAAATGTATTTCTGATAGGTACTTACCTCCTCTCACATAATAGCTTTTCTCATTTAATACTGGCCTCTATATGCTGAAATTTTATTGCTCACCACTAGCCTTGATACTCCCATCTACCCCACTTGTTTAACATGATACAGCTGCATTGTAGCATGCAAATAATCATGTAACAATCAATAGGAGCACAACACACTCTCTTGGCACAACTGTCTCCCCTTGGATTACAGAGTCTAACCTCACTTTGAGATTAGGCACTATGAATAGAGATTACTGAAAGTGTGAAAAGAGACAAGTATCTATTGGAAGTACATTTTTTCTGTAGGAAAATTATAACTTCTGATATGATATCTTACCCCCTCTCACATAATAGCTAGAATCCCACAATGACTTTGGTGGAGAAACTGGTGTAAAATTTGCCTGGATGAGCCCAGCTTCAGAATGCATCTCTACAGAACCTATGGAATGTGACATCTCAGTGAAGAGGAAACTCTCCTTGTAGACCGCACCACATCTGAATCAGATATACTCTTCACTTTTGATGAATGAAAATGTCAATAAATGGATGACAAAGAGGCACCTACAATGTACTCTTGGTGCAGAATGACTAGGGCAATCAGGAGATCAACTTCACCCAAAACCAGCAGTGCCAGGAATGAATCATCTGGCCCATGGCAGGAAGGAGGTCCTCTACCATTCATTTCAGACTCAGGAACCAGAAGGGAAGAAGCATTTGCATTCTGAGAACTGAAGCTATCATGTGTGCATATCCAACATAACCAAAACCTGCCCCCCCCCACTAGGAACTGACATTTAGACGATGGTAGGAAGGTGGAATGCAATGTGGAATTTAACCTGATCCAAAACCATGTATGGGGAATGTCCATGGTAGGAAGAGAGTCCCAGCCCATTAATTTGTGAGGATTTATGTTGACTGGTTCAGCTCTAATCCAACACCATACTACATGGGAATAGACATCCAGGTGGTGGTAGAATGAGGCTCCCAGCCAGAGGGATGAACTGCCTATTTGGTGGATTCATCCAGTCCAAATCCATATGACACCTGGAATTGAAAATTGGGTCTGCAGTAGGAGGAGAGTGCAAAACCATCTACACCTGCAGAACATCACTGCCCTACTCTCAACTGAGTGGAATTGAGCACACTCAGGATGAAGCCTCCATGATCCACCACTCCAGCAGCTAGGAGCTGATAACTGGTACATACTTCAGTATTCCACTGGAAGAAGTGGGGAAAATATTTTTCAGAGAGTCTGGAGGAATGCAGCACTGGAGAAAGTGCAATGGCTAACCACAAAACCCTATTTTTAAAAGCAGACAGTTCCTGATTTTTTAATCAAAGGAGTGGCAGGAATGGTTAATGACCTTATTGGCCATACAGTGCAGAGTTAAGAATTATAATACCTAGAGAGGCATCACTTGCCACTAAGTGGGATCCAACAAGAAGCAATAGAAAGGACCCTATAATTAAAAAATTGATAAGTAAAGTAAACTTCCCAACTTATACATGTACTGTAGCATGTAAGACTGTAATAGCAGGCAGATGAAATTCATTTGAGGAGACAACCAAATGATGTAGATAATGTAAAACAAACATGTGAGGAATGGACCATATGCCAGCTTGGATGATTTCCTCCTATGGACAACGAAAATGAGCAACCAGAGACATGGTGAGAAGACGAATCTAATGAGAGGAAGCCTGGAAAAGGTGAAGGTCATGTAAGAATAAGCCAAATTAATCAGTTGGCAATTCCAACCAGTAAGAGTAATCAGGGTAAGATCTGTGGATATGGAAGGATTCCAGTGGATAAAGAGTTGAGAACCAGAACCACATAACAACGTAAAGCTTGTACTGGACATAGGAGTCAATCCAGATCAAATAGGAATACAAATGAGAAATGGGGGGTAGGGAAATAGGAGTAAATACAAAATTACCCTCACAAGCAGCCAAGGTCTTGGGAAGAAAGGCCCTTTCAGAGTAGAGAATGACATAGTGCTGTAGTAGAAGATGCATGAGTGAGACATTGATGGCAAACATATCCGACCAACAACGCCCACAAACTAAAAAGAGGAAGAAACTGGTTTTCAAGAAAAGTTGGTACAGGGAACAATTTGACAAAGGCTCAAAAGGGGAAATGGACAGGGACTACATTCAGATTTCAATCCAGAAGAAAAAAGGGCTTGGGAGGACAGAGGATACAAAAGGAATGAAACAGAAGGTAATGACAGGAGAGGAAAACATATGGCAGAACTCAGAAAAATGGAAGTTAAGAAGACAAGGCCATCCTGTATTCTACAACGGTCAACAAAGAAAAAACCACTGTCAAAGAGCCATGTGAAGAAATTGGAAAGGTGAGGGATATTAGGGAAAGAAGGAATTAGGCCATAACAAAGCAACAAATGGCAAAGAACACTTTATTATTACTGATACTTGGAGAAGGAGGAGGAAATAAGGGACACAACCTGTGTGGAAAGACAGGTCTTTCTTGCAAGGGACTGGACAAAAGCCATTTGTGAAGCCAGAGTGTGGGAAGAGATAGAGGAAACAAGGATGCATGTGGTTGATGAAAGAGAAATGGGGAATGAGGAAGAGGTAAAGGTCGTGACAACTGTAGAAGTTGTAGAAATGGGAATGGGCTGAGCAGGCTGGAATGGTACCACCGAAAAACCTGACACAGAGTTGTTTGAATGACGTATAAGACTGAGAAGTTTAAGAAAATGTAATAATTTATATCAGAAGTTCTCACTGAAATATTTAAAATTTTGTATCTTTCTTTCTCAGAATCAAGAAATTAAAGGTAAAAAAGAAAAGACTTTAAATGTTAACTCTTAGTTTATAATAATAAGCACAAACATTTTGTAATTTTTAATGAAAAAAAGGACATGTCTGAACCATTGCAGTGCCAGGGAAAGATTAAGCTCTTGGTAAAACTTCATGTGTTCAAGTGGACTACTGTGTATGAAGAATGTGTTGCCCTCCTATTGGTGGAGGGTTATGGTCTAATGTTGATTACATCACAGAATGGCACATTACATGCTAGTATGTGTAGGGATGGGGAGTTCATTCAAAAGCATGGTGCATGCATAAAATTGTTTTGATGTAAGGTAATAGCTCTCAGTTCTGTGTAGAGGTGAGTACCATTTCTGAATTCAGCAATATTATGTTTAAGTTAGAACTGACTATTATTATTATTATTACTAATTTTACTCTTACAAGTAATATTTTCATTACTAACTTAGGATAAGGATTTCGGTCTATCTTATATATCCTTAGTTAGTTGAACTTAAGAGACATTAAAAAGTTTACAGCTAAATGAGCGCATTCTAATAATTATAGATTTTGGTTTTTTTGAATGCTGATTCTCTAGTAAGTTTGTTGTATAGAATTAACTTCACTAACTTATACACTAGTATTTAAATTTAAATTTACCTAGCTATTTAATTTTTGGACAAAAGTTGTTGGTAATCACAAGTAATCAGTAAAGTGCTTTTAAGGGTAAGGTATTAATATGATATTAAAATTTAAACCAATATTAATGAGGAGAGAGAAGAACACTGAAGATTTTACATTAACAATCTAAGGGCAGTTTTTTTTTTTTTACTACCATCAAGTTAATGTGTTCGTTAAACAATGTGTGCAATAATATTTATGTGTACATGTAAGAAATGTAAACAAGTTTTAAAGTGCAAGACAAAAAAAAAATCCATTTAATATAATTTACATTTTAGTAATGGATAATTTAAAGCAAAAGTTATAATTTTTAATATAGAACCTTCACAAGGACACAAGTCAATATCAAAGCTTGTTCTGTTGCATTACTACATTATCAGGAACAATCTGTTCACATTTAGTTATTTTCAAAGAAATAATTAATTAGCTGCTATAAATTTGAAGTTCAAGTACTTGAATTAACGAGTTTTGCCCCTAAAGAAATTGTTCTCTATCAACTGTCTCTAAAAATATATTCCTATATGTATGACTGATACATTTACTAATTGAGTTTGAGATACATTTTACTACAGCACTTACTATAAACACTATCCAATTTTTTTCATTTGGTCCTAATATAGTTATCAAGTGATGATTTTGCAAATGACACTTTTAATATTTTGTGGAAAAATTACTGAAAATAATTCATGTATACATTTTCATAGCTGTAACTTTACTCTGAGAAAGATGAAAGATTTTTCCTTAATGTTTCTTACATTTCCTCTAGTTTCCTTTTTTTAGGTATATATATATATTTATTTGAAGAGTTTTATGTTTTGTTATATTTAAGTTCTACAAAAAAAATTACTCAAGGGCTATTTTTTAGTTCCATATTAAATTTGGTATTGTATCCAATATAAACCTACATGTACCTAGCTCAAAAGGTTTTCTACAAGCTTCTACATCAATCAGCTGTCGAGTTCTTCTAATTTTTGTTTTTTCAAAATTTCCTTTTGAAGCTTTTTTGACGTTAGCAGCTTGTCTTGATTTTTCACCTGTAATGAAGCAGTAATACATTACACCTATAATGTATAAAAATTTATTTCTAGAATGCATTAGACAGACACAAGAATAACTATATATACACATGTACTTGATGGTAAAGTACATTCTTCATCTAAGTACACATCTATGTTCACATGTAGGTACATGTACACATGTCCTTGTACGTAAATGTACTTTTTTTTGTGAGATTAAAAACAAAATTATGAAATATAAAATACATTAAACAAATGTATTAGATTAGAAATTCTCAGAATGTTTCAGTCAGGGACCCCTTTTATAAGGGTGAATATTAAGAACCCAGATTTATCAGGTACCAAAAATCAACAGAGATCATACTACTGTTCTAAGAGAAATGCTAATACAATAATACAGTTTTGTACATAGTTCACTTTTAAATGATTTCATCTTACTATAATGGACATAGCGTATATTTCAGTATCATTGTATGTAACCAATACTCCTGTGACATCTATTGAATGGCACCACAAACAAAAATCCATAAAAAAATTAACACTTTGGATATTCAAGATTCAGAAAATTAGAAAAATAATTGTGTTATGTGCAATAACCATTTCATAAAAGTACTCTCCTCACAACAAGAACACTACTTTCTATAGGACTGTACACGAGGGTTTGATTATATCTTTATTGATGTAATTTCTAAATGTAGTGCTGAGAAACAGGAGTTCTTAAAAAACTATTATTTTTTCAATAAATGGTACCAATTTTATTATACAAAAACATTAAAGTTTATATCAGTAAAATGAATGAAAACCTTGAGCACTGTACATTGAATTGTCTTGATGCAATGAGTTGCATATGACTAAAGAGCACAATCCAAACACTTTTCCCATGCACTACTTCCCAGAAAAAAATCCTTTTTTAGAAATGTTCACTTTTCTTAATTTTTTTTTCAATGAGTTATGAATACTATGATTAGTAATTACTGACACAAACACCCACCCATAGGGTGGCATTTCTGCTAGTAACTATAAAACACTGAATCACAAAATATGTAAAATACTAAAATGAAGGGTCAAATGTGGCCTACTGGTTGGTGTGCTTAGAGTGAAAATCAGAGGATTCATGGTTCATGTCCCATTGCTAAAAATTATGTTTTATACTTTGGATTGTGGATGTTACATTAATCTAGTAGTATATTCTTACATGAGAAGGCTAAAAAAAACTTAGAATGATAAAAATTGGGTTTTGATACCCACAAAGGTCAGAGCACAGATAGACCATTGTGTAGCTTTAACAACAAACAAACATAAAAACAATATTTTGATTACTTGGATAGTTGGAATAATTAAAAACAGAAATGATTGGAAACCCTAATTTTGATTAGCTGATTATTTTTGTGAGTCATGAGACTAATTGATTAAGCTGACCAAACTTGAATTAATGGAATATATTAATGAAAAATCATGGCAATATTTTGATTACTGGGTAGTTGGAATAATTGTAAGATAGTAATAATTGAAAACACTAATTTGGATTGGTTGATTATTTTCATGCCATTAATTGATTTAATCCTAATTTTGAATACTTGATAATTAGAAGAACCAAAAACACTAATTTCAATTAGCTGATTATTTTCATGGTATTAATCAACTTAAATGTAATTTCAATTACTGGATAATTGGAATAATAGAAAACAGTAACAACTGGAACACTAGTTGATTATTTTTGTTACATGTTAGCATTTTCCTACACTGAAAATTTATTTCCAATAGATACTTATCTCTACTCCTAAAATAGCTTTTCTCAACTAGCACTGCCCTCTATTGGCACAAATTTTCAATGTACGCTACTCGCCTTCCACTTCATGCTTTTGTATATCCACATGCAAATGATCATGCAGCAGCTCTCCACCAATAGGAGCACTACATCACTCCTATTGTAACCAGCTCCCTCTTCACATCTGCACTCATTAATCACTTCGAGATTTGTCAGAAGACCTACACTATATAACATTAGAAGTGGGGAGGATGGGTGGGAAATGTGAGAGGAGGTAAGTATCTATCGGAAATACATTTTCAATATAGGAAAAAGTATAACTTCCAATAAAATATCTTATTTTTGCTCACAAAATAGCTAGAATCCTACATTGAACTGGTGAAGGGCCACTAAGAAAAAATATGATCCTCCCTTCAGGAAGCACCCAAAGAGAGACCAAAAGGTTCGGAATCAAAAGAGAAAACATCATACTTCAGCGGAAGAACACAGCACATCTGATTCAGGTATACTCTTCACTCTTTTATGACACTGTGATGAACATGAAAGGCGGAAACATGAAGGAATCCCAGAATATGTATGACCACTGAATGGGACTCCTGGGTGTCATGTGGCTAAGGTGTGACAGACTGTAGTGGTGGTTCAACCTCAACCAAAACCAGGTGGTATTTGGAATGGTACATCAGATCTGCGGTAGGTAGAGGAACACCTACCTCTTCACCTCGAAATGGAAGTTGGTAGGGAAGACGAGTTTCTGTACCAAAATCCTTCACCACTTGCACGCATTTTCAACCCAACCAACACCAGATCCATCAAGAACCGACATTCAACAGATGGTAGGAAGGTGGAGAGCCTGGTGGTATGACATTTTCTGTCCAAAACCTGACAGTAAGGGGTAGAGTTCTTTCGGTTCACGGTAGGAGGAGGATATCTGACCATACACAAGCTGGAAAACATGATGCATCCAGTTACAACTACACCAGATCTGCCAGGTACCAACACGCAGCAGATGGTAGGAATAGGGATCACAAACCTGGTGTGCATTTCCAGTCCAAAACCTGGCAGCAGTGGGCATTTGTCATCCTGACAGCAGTAGGAACAGGGAAACTGGCCAGCACACGTGTGAGGAATTACTTAGCTGGACCATCTCCAAACCAGTACTGGACCCACCGAGAATGTATATCCGGAGGATGGTGGGGATGAGGAATGTACAGCCTGAGGGGCAAATTGCAATTATATATACATATTTATGGCATGGCGGAGTGCTTCAACCAAAACCTGGCAGCATCTGGAACTATACAATAGGTCCATGGTAGGAAGGGCAATGCAAATGACAACTAGCACAATCATAGAATGGACAGTGCCAAGAAAAAATGATACAAAATTTAGCATATGTGTACAGTACTATTGCCAATCAAGATGCAATTAATGAGTGCAGAAGTGAAGAGGGAGCTGGTTACAATAGGAGTGGTGTTGTGCTCCTATCGGCGAGGAGCTGCTGCATGATCATTTTCATGTGGATATGCAGAAGTGAGATGTGAAAGGCTAGTGGCATGCAAGGAACATTTGCACCAATTAGGGGAATTCTAGTCAAGAAAAGCTATTTTGTGAGCACAGGCAAGGTATAGGAATAATTAATTTAATAACAATTTCAATTAATTGATTATTTTCCATGACACAAACCAATATTCATAGGTAATAAATTATATTAATTAATTGAGTTAATATACATACACTTTCATCCGTCACTATTTAAAAGCTTAAAGAAGGTCATAAATTTCATACACATGATAATCTTTTGGTAAAAATGTTACACATCTTACAAGGACATTACTGGTGGGGCATAAAGGTGTGTGAATGAAACTCCTTTAAGTCCGCAAATAAATATTAATTCCACAAGCCGCCATATATACTTGCAGGTTAACAATGAAGCAGTATCCTTAGCAAAACTTAATGAATGGCCAGTGGTCCCATTTCTCAGTACAATGTGAATGAGCAACTACTATACTCTTCTACACTGTACTGACCACACAAATGTTGCACTGGCCAGAATAAATCCTTCATATTTTCATTTATGCTGGGACAACTAAACAAGCTTCATAAGACGGTGACTGTTTGGTCACATCCACATACTCCTAGTCAGTTTGATACATTGCTTACGATTCAGGATTCAAATTACAGTAAGTTTAACTTAATAAGGTACAAAATACTTATGAAAAAGGGATTTACATATGAATAACTGTGACATATATGTCCAGTTTATTTTTAAAACTTGCAAGAATATTTATTTTAACATAGCTCATTCATAACGTTTCTTTAATCTGACATGAACCAGCAATGAACCATGTCCTTGAGTGCTACCGATTCATCTTTTTTTAGACTTACATATGTTAACTGATTTCAGAAATGACCCCTATGAATAATCTTAGCAATGTCCAGAATAGATCATAATTTTCTTTTCTTCATTTTGAAGTGTACTTTACATGTTAATGATGTTTTAATTTCAACTATCATATTCTTATTTTTCTTCTTGTAGAGAATTTACATAACTGACCAACATTTTATGCATTTAGTTTTCTCAGTATGTAAGATTTTTTGCCAGTCTGGTCATCTAGCTACATCTATTTTAGTTTATGTAATATTAATGATGAAAATATTTGTGTACAATCTTATATCTCAAGCAAATTGACCTCAAGGTGAAATGTGAATCTGCCATTATTATTAGCACTCAAATTACTAACTTGTTTTTTATACCATTCACTATTGGTGGGGTGTACATATTTTATGATACTGAGTCATTCTATGTTTTTGCCTGTTAAAATACACAATGTTAAGAACTGACCAACAAAACTGGATGAAATAATTCAATTTCCATATAAAATACACAATGGATAAAGCAGAAATTAGTGAGACCAATTATGGTATTTATAAAATGTTTTTTCATGTGAATAATGTTTAATATTTGAAGATAGCTTTTATATATGGAAACACCTGTTAGCAGAGTTCTTCCTCAGATCTTAAAATATAACGTTGATAAATGAAAACATTGGTACATGTAGATATGTAGATATTGAAAGTCAAGTTGTTCAAAATTTGAAAGTAGCATTGATAACTGGACCAACTTGTTGTATTAATAAAAAGCCCACAAAGATTTAATCTTTATGTTAAATTCCAAAAAATCTTTCACACACCAATTTTTAGAAAGCCAGATTAATTTTTTGTAATCATGTAGAGACCTGGATATTTATTTTCTTAACAATTGTTGTTATAACCTCTGTATATTTTTATTTTTAGAGAATTGAGAAAAACAAATACAATAGCATGGTTCATTAAAATACTATATAGGTGGCAATGTACACTGGAAATTAAACAGTGCAGGTTAAGCTAAAAACTGCAAATTGTTCAATAGCTTCTTTAGGCCTTTAACACTGTATATTAAACCACTAGAAGATATGCCATTAATTTAGCAAATAATCATCTTTTAATTTGCACCTGAAGACAAATAATAGCTCATCCTGTTAGGAAGTGAACAATTATGAATTTACTTCACCCTTTTACAGCGTGCTAATTAAACGACCAAAATTAAGAACCTCATTATCATAAACTATACTTTCAATGGACATGGAAATAGCTCAAACCACAGTACAGTTAGTGGAAATAATGTAGTTATTTTCAATATGCAGGTACATGTAAAATCAACACAATATGTTGTAAAAATTAAAGATTTTTATGTAATTAGTATTCTTCCTTTAGCTAAAATTGCTATTCAAAGGAAACTCGTAATAAAAAAAGATTAGATTTAATTATGCTCCGCTACAGAATTTATGCATATTAGAGGAATATGGCTTTAAATTTAGTTATTGCATCAAAATATACTTTTGGAAAAGTTTGCAAAACACAATTTTGTCACATACTTTATCAACATGATGCTAGCATATAATCATAAACACTGAAAAAAAAATACTTTACCTTCAGAACTTTTAAAAACATATGCATATTCTTTTGGAGTAAGATTTTGATTTTCAGTGAAATGTAGATCTTTTTTGACATCATTACATGAATTTGATACTAAAAGTTGTGAATCTGTTGGGCCTGGAACATCCTGAAAATCAGAGCAAGCTTTTTTAACAAGTTGCTCCACATCATCCCAAACACCAGGAGTAATTATCACATTTTCTTCAAGGTTGTAATCAGATTTATTAGGGCCACAAGTTGTAGGAACTTCAGCCCTTTCATCTGAGATAAGGTTTACAACTTCCATAGTGGCTCCAACATCTTGTACAACATCACGTGACACTTCAAGAGATGCCACAAAACATTCACCTTCTTGCACTACACTAGAATTAAATGACACAAGTTTTTCTAACGAATGAACTTCCATTACTAATGAACTTGAAGCACTGAACAGCTTAAGAACTTTTTTTTTTTACCAAGGGGCTACGTATATAATACAAGTACATGTAATTCTATTCTGAAGTTTGCACTCAATGCAACTTCCAGTTTCTGGATACATATGCATCTTAAAAGCAGTGCATTTTTTTCTTCTTTAATTTTTTATCAGTAAAAAAACAGCAAGTCTGTGGATTGAAGAACTAACAGGACTGGAGTTGGAAGATTTTCTTCAAAACATATTACACATGTTTTGCATCATTCTATTCAGTTGATAAAAATAATTCTTTAGACCTAAAACACAAATACAGAAAATAAATAGATTAATTAACAGCATTGTGTTTGTAACTGCAAAAGAAACTTTTAACACAGGCATTTACAAATGCAAGTACAATATGTGTACATGGTAAACTTGGGTTAAAATGTGTATAGGAAGTTCAGCTGGATATTGTGAAATAGGCCAAATTTCTGGTGAATTAACTTTGTCATGCTGAAATTATACATATCAGTCAGTTTGATGGTACAGATATTTTTATAGCACATACATATCAGATATGGTGTGGTTGATATTTTATTACATTCTTCTGTATTTTCACTTACAAGTTATAATTTATAACTTTTACCTAAATCTAAGCAGTTGGAACCTTTTGAAGCACATTTATTATAAGTAGAAAGCACTATTAACATGTTTCAATTGAAGATATTATGCAAATTGAGCCCCATATTATGAAAGTTTATATCTATATTGACATTTTGTATCCCATTTACAAGTAATCATCTCACCTACATTAAGTGTATTTTGTCATTGTGTACTTCAGCCTTAAAGTACACAATATTAAAATTAGATAACAGCTCTTATAATCAGTGCCAATGAGGCCTTTTGCCCAATAGCAAGAGATAGGGCTCACCAGGCCAGCTTGGATAGACATCTCATTATGCTATGCACAAACTTAGCCATCTTCACACATAAACACAGCATAATAATATATATATATATACACTATGCATACATAAACAAGAAATAGCCTGTTCGTTAGTTATTCTTGAAATGCTCCGAGACAGTGAAAGCAACAGCTGCAGCTATGTAATACTAATGGTAATATATTATTAAATATCCATATGATAACATGATAATATTGATATATTCATTACAATGCAGTCTTGTTCAGGTTGTATGTAAAAATAAGACTTACATATATCATATAGAAATATTTTACACTAAAAGTTTATAAGAAATCTTTTTCAAGCTTGCAGATTTCCAAAACGTGTGCAAAACACCCGAGTATCGTTTGTAGTACAAATTGTATATATTATGCTGCCGTTCACTTGCTGACGATACCTTCTTCTAAGACTAGCAGTAGTACTAGTATGAGTCGCGTTCTCACTCAGATAACCCTGAATCTGTAAATTTTTCATTCTCCCAGTTTCTTTTTGCAAACTACTCAGCCTATCAATCCAATTTTCAATTCTTTCGTCTACTGAAATACCATATAGTTTTGATATTCACTTAAATTACAGTACTCCAACCCTTTTATGTAATTGCAGAGACGTCTGTTGCATTTGAACGTTTAGTATTTCGATTGTAATTTACCACTAATAATAATAAACTGAGCCCGAAAATCAGACGATAAAGTTAGTCCTAGGTTTGTGTTGTATAACTATAAATATCAGCTTTTCTTGATTGGTGGTTAGTATTAGTATCACGCATAGATTTATTTATTATAATTAAAATAACAATATGCACTTGATTTAATCACAGGTTTAATATAATTGTATTATCAGTGTTGATCGGATTCTGCATTTCTTTTAATTACAAATTACAATTCTTGTTCTTTACTTGTTATTAAAAACACTGTAAAAATAAATACGCAATTTACTATAAATAAGTTATAAGTAATAGACTGTTTTTCAGTTTTAAATTAAATTAACGAGTCATACTTAGGCTTTCTAAATTCTAGATAGCATCTACTCTAGTTTTTTTTTATTCTTTTTAGGGTTGTTAGTATTGAATGAGTTATTAATGTTTGAATAGACTGTAATAAGTAGCGCCCTGGTGGGCTTAATTGTTGGAATTTCAATTAAAACTACTAGTTACACCAAATTTATTTATTGGAGGATTTGTCGTGATGAGTGGGGCCACAAGTTGCTAACTAGAGGTAGTTTACAATTAGACTAAAGAATTAGAGTCTCAGGCCAATGGTGAACGCTTACAATAACGTTTATTAATCATTAATAAAGACAACACTTCGTTTATGACAAACATAAAATGGCTTGTAACTCAATAATATAAAATGGCTTTTAACTCGACAAAAACACTTATAATATTTTCAGTATACACTTTCATTAATACCCATAGATATATTTCAACATAACATTTTATAAAATATTCATATTAACTGACTGAGAGAGAACAGTAAAGTATACTTACAATGGTGTTGGATTCGGAAATCGAATAACATTGGAAACCTTCATGTTGCCAAAATAACCATCAGTACTTCAGAAGACTTTTTCTGAATTCTGGAGGAACTTCAATTTTCAGCCTCTGACATGGGTTTATAAAGCACATTTCTGTGTATTATTTCGAGCATCTAAATAGGACACAGCATCACCCGCAAGTATGCTATTGGATGCTTTAGGGGAATCCCCGGGCTGTTCTAAAACCATAACCAAAACTCTCAAGTAATTGGTTACAGTTAGGTTGTGTTAGCCGGTCACCTATTTACTTGTACTGCTACACCCATGTGCTGTAAGTGAAAGCGCCTCAAAGCACCATATCACTTGCTAAACCAAACTTTGCTGTAGCTTTCCTAGTTCTACAAGGTTGAGGTCAACTATTCCTCAACCTTTCACAAGTTCTAGTACACTCATCTCATTTCTAGGCAAGGCTTGTTATGTAGCTTAACCTTGTTTTTTTTTCTAGTTCATCCACGTGTCTTAGTTGCTTACAGAAAATACAACTGCCAATTTAACTTTATTCTTAAACTTTATAAATTAATAAAAACTCTTATAAACATCAAAGCAATTGTAAATTCCCTCGAAAATAGCCCAATTGCTTCACTCCTCCTTCCTTAGAAAAATTTTATTATTCATAACAAAATTTATCATCTCACCATCGTCTTCACCTTTCTCTCTCTCAATCAGTCAACACTTACATCATAGTTAGATACATTCAAATATTACTTCTGTTAACATATTGTTACGTCTCCGTTTGTTAATTGATTTTTCCGTAACTTTGTTCCGAAATTTTAACGACACAAGTCTTTACTTGATAAAACTGGTTTATTCTTTCCGAAT